CTCCTCTACTCCCCTCATTTCCCCCCTCCTTTCCCCTCTTTCAGTCCTTTCATCCATCCTCTCTCTCGCGTACCCCCTCACCTTCGCGCCCACTTCTTTTCTCCCTCCTCATTTATTTTCTGTTTTCCCCTTCCACCCTCCTTCCTTCACCGATACACCGTTTCACTCACTCGCTTAAAGCATTTTCTCTCTCTCTCTCTCTCTCTCTCTCTCTCTCTCTCATCTCTCTCTCTCTCTCTCTCTCTCTCTCTCTCTCTCCTCTCTCTCTCTCTCTCTCTCTCTTCTCTTCTCTCTCTTCTCTCTCTCTCTCTCTTCTCTCTCTCTCTCTCTCTCTCTCTCTCTCTCTCTCTCTCTCTCTCTCTCTCTCTCTCTCTCTCTCTCTCTCTCTCTCTCTCTCTCTCTCTCTCCCTCTCTCTCTCCCTCTCTCTCTCCCTCTCTCTCTCCCTCTCTCTCTCCCTCTCTCTCTCCCTCTCTCTCTCCCTCTCTCTCTCTCGTGCGCGCGCACTCACAATCGCACACAAACACACACACGCGCGCGCACCTTTTGTGTAAGGAAGCTTCTTGGCCGCACGTCTTCAGGTGTGGTTCGCTGGATGCACGGGGGGAGGAGGGAGTCCTTGGGTGGGTGCCCACTTAGTTTATTTGTATTGTATTTGCGAATTGTTTATGCATAGGGTAGATACATGTATATCAGTCTGTGGGCATGTGAGTATAATATATCTGACTGTGGGTATGTGAGTATAGATAAGCATGTATATACGTACATGCGGATACATACATGCACAGGCAGTTCATTCTAAAAGTGGGTGTATATATACATATATGCGGTTAAAATACAGACCATTATCGGGAAGATGCAGACATAAGGCCGAAAACCTCACCTGGAATTTCGTGTCTTTTATATTTGATTGTATACATGAAGGTGTTTTAAGTGTATGATGTTTTGCTTGTCGCTTCTTAACTATTGTATGTATATATTCTGGTATTTATGAGTGCAGGCTGTAACTCCAATACGAAAAAAATGGTTAAGAAAATATAGTTGAGTTTGAATAGGAAAACTATTATATATTTTGTTAAAGAAAATAAACTGACAATAGATCTGTTTTGTTTTGTTATTGTGCGGGGCAGTAGCGCCACCGTGCCAACCCCCTAGTCCTGCTCTTCCCTCCTCCCCTCCCCTCCCCTCCTCTCCCTCCCCTCCTCTCCCTCCTCTCCCCTCCCCTCCCTCCCTTCCTCTCCCCTTCCCGTGTGTGTCCAGACTGGAGATTATTTTGAAGCTTCCCCCTCTCCCTCTCCCCCACCCCCATCCCCACCCCCCCTCCCTCACCCCCACTCCGGGAGTGTCTCAGACCCTCCCCCCCCCTTTCCTCCACACAAATCTTTTACTAATGTGTCTTTTTTCTGCCTGAAGTCTAGATCAAGTGTTTTTAGCCATTGGCTGATGTACGCGGGCTCTCCCGTGGGTGCTTTCTCGCCACTTCGATTCGCTGATTTTGTGTGTTTTTTATGGCTTTCGCCTTCGTTATTATTATTGTTCGTTTCCCACCTCTCGTTGCTTCCTTCTTGTCCGTTTTGATTTACATATTTTTGTTAGTTGGTTGGTGAACGCAAAATCCACATCGCATTTAACCGGTTTGCAGAAAAGGTAATTGATTACCTCAATGCTGCGTATAAATCTGTTATTTCTTTAACGATAAATAGATTTGTCATATTTATGTCACAAATCAGACCGCGCGCAGCAATTTGCGAAAGTAATTTGTCCCTGTGTTTAGTATGTTATTATCGTTATTGACATTATATTCGTTGTTTTTGTTCTGGTGATTATTTGTTTTCCTGTTTTCATTCGTATTACCACTAACTCGGTCACCATTGCCTTGAATTATTCTGTCGGAGGATATGCCCGGAGACGAGTCGCGCCGCCCTTGCCCTGAGCCACGGCGAAGACGGTCCGGAGGCCCGCTGGGCGCCGGACGTCCCCTTTGGCATCGGTGCCCGCATCCGTGGCGCCAAGCCTCAGGTGTGCGCCAAAAGTGTGGGGGCCCCTCGGGTATCGGGTGGCATAAGGCTCAATTTACCTCCAAGACAAACAGGAGTGTCGACCGATCTTGAAACTGAAGCCGAGTTGTGTGCCAAGACTTATGAGGATGGAGGGCGGGTGGAGGAGGGTACGGGGAAGGGAAGGGGTAGTGGAAGGGGTACCGGAGAGAGGGAGTCGGGGTGTGTTGTCGCCAAGGTTGCTTTTCCCGACCTCCCGGGCCGGGATCGACGACCTTAAAAGCTCATTTCCGAACTGGTCATGTGTAGGTTGAGTTGCGCGGGGTCGGGAGCGGCGAGTCCCGTAAGAGTGATTTTTCAGTGCGGAGCGAAGGGAGCGGACGCCCCTAACGGCTGTCCTGGGAGATTAGAGCGCCGGGCCAAGGGGTAGGGGTGTATTGGCCGAAGGTCTCGGCGCTCCGGCAGTGAATGAGAGCCGAAGGCGCTGAAAGGGCGCCGGGCGTGT